ATTGGCATGGTGCTACACAAATTTTTAACATTATGTTATTTTTCGACCGTTGCATCTGTGGCTGCCTTAACTAAAAAAAAATAAATCCACAGCACACCTTTTGCATTGGCACGGCAATTTGAAAACAATTACCATATTTTATATTCAAACTTTCGGCGAGAACTTTTTCGTACAATATTTTCCCACCAAAGGGAGAGGCACAACGGCGTATGCGCGTCGGTCCTCTTGCAAGAACGACGGTCGCTTCCCGCAATGCTTGGATAGATCATAGAACATGGCGTAGCATTTCGATTCACACAATTACTAGCGACCTCCACACTTCCCCGTGCTTCATTCTTCGGCATCACCGTGAGTTGTGGAGTGAATTTTACGACAGTGTGAAATGCGGGACATTTTGTAGATTTGGGACTTTATCGGCGGGACGCGGGACACGAGCCCTCAATGCGGGACAGTTTCTCGAGCCGCGGGACGGGTGGTCACCCTAACGCAGTTTGAAGTTAATTTTTTGGTGCGAGCAAACATAATGTCCCAGCTTCTCCTGTTATACGATCCGTAATAACCTTTGTTTGCTGATTGAAATCTACATAAACTTATATCCATCTCGTCCCTGAAACACGGTGTTCGACATCTTAATTCAACTTGAGTTTTTTTTATTTGTGAAAACATGCGATTGCTTAATCAATCAGTAGATGTTTGTTTTTAGTTTGTATTTTTTGTGAAAAAAAAATGTCTTTTTTAATATTTTTCTTTTTTTTGCTTTGAATTACAGGCCGTGTTTTGCGGCTCAGTAAAACAGGTTGTTTTGAGATTTACAAAATCGCGTACAGCCGACAATGCACCCGCGACGTAGGTAGAAGTGTGGCGGTAAAAGCTTGCCCCCCCCCCCCCCCCCCCCCCCTGGAAAATATTCTTGGCTGCGTCGCTAAATGGGCATAAGAGAAGAGGCACTAGGTTTTTTGCCTCATAAACATACACATAAATCGAAGGAAGCGTGCATTTTGTGCTTCGCGTGGGATTTGCTGAGCATGACTCTCAGTTTTGAGATGAAGCGTGTTAATTATAGTCGGTGACAGGTAGTGGAAGCTCCTCCCATCTCTTTCACCTTTTGCAGAGCGAACAATCGAGAGGGGCGACAAGGCTCCCAAGGGGCGACCCCCTCCCCAGCGTTTACTTTTAACCTGTCACCGAGTATGGCGTTTCTTCTTTCGTGGACCTTACAAATTGCTACAGCTCGCAGTGCATACAGCAGTGTAATCCAGCTGCTAACGTGCTGTGCGTGTCTAAACAGAAGATATGGTTCCCTCCGGAGCCATAGGGGGGATCGGCGGCCGAGTGGGCCAGAGCACACCAGCTCGGAGCACATGGAGCGAAAGCTCGCGCAAAAGAAACCAGCGATCTTGGGTTCAATCTGCACCCCTTCCCGTTTCCATCTGTATGAACATCGTATCGGCGTGCGGTCGTGTGTCACTACTGCGTGATGCATGTTAAAGACCCCGCGCTACCGGTTGTACTGCACTGGCCAAATTTCTCATCTACAGCTGGGAGACTCGTCGGCCGTTGAGTCAGACCAAATTCTAGGCTGTAAAAACATACACACACCCCAATTTTTCTCCGGAGCCATAGCTACAGGCTGTTTTCAGTGCACGCGATCAGCGCATTCAGAAACCTAAGAACGAGAGCACGCCCATGAGGCCTCGTACGTGGTGCCTCTCATTTACACGCACTCACCACAGCTTTGACATAGTTGGAGCCCTGCAGAAGTTATGCTAACCTTGACAACACAGAACAAATTAGTTCTGGACACGTCGACGCATGCACCGCCAAAACGTGCCCCACATGCCCTACACTTCGTTTCACGATCAGTGCGAGCGAAATCAATGTGAGGTCGATGTTGACATAGGCGTACCACCCGGGGGGGGGGGGGGGGGGCAAAGCGGCGCTTGCCCCCCCCCCTTCAGTTCTTAGTGTGGGGGGCAAGGCATGTGTTTTGCCCCCCCCCCCCCCCTGAAACAACCGCCACCGGACAGAGCAAACACTGGCCGGCGGCGCCCAATGTATACCCAAGGGCACCGCCCCCCGGCTGGGGGGGGGGGGGGGGGGGAGGGAGGGAGAAGGAGGTCTCGTTTGCCCCCCCACTCAAGAACAAGTTGGTACGCCACAGGATGTTGTCGTTTCACGAGCTCTCCTTCGCGCGCATTTATGGTAAAAGGGAGAATAAAGAGTCGTAGAACAAAGGAATTGTTGCAACATATTTTCTGTTGTGTAATAGGTGGCAGGGTAGATCTATGTTTTGACTGCCGACGCTAACCTATTTCGTATTTACAAATTCTGATAAGCATGAGTCCACGCGGAACATATCCAAACGCGGATCAAAATCCGGCTTGCTTAATTTTGAGACGAAAATAAAAATATCAATAATTATTTACATTCGCGCTATCCCTTATTTTGATTAGATTCCTTGCGTTGTACACATCAGTGGCATTAGAGCCACTACATGAGCTGCGCTTAGAGTATCGGTACTCCGTTCTCCAACATTGTACGCTGTGGGAGCCGCCGTTTTGGCTCGCATGCAGAGCAGACGGAACTGCCGATCGTCATGATTCAAAAGAGCGACTTCCTTAGCGTTAGATTCGGTGTTATGAAGGTCATGTAATATTGCTTTGCTCTGTCGCGAACTGTTTCAACATTTCTGGAGGGCGAAAAGCGTTTCCTGTGATTTCAGATAAAGCTTGAAATAACTGGCAACCATGATTTTAAGCCACAGTATGGCCAAGTGTGGTTACTCTAAAGTGTAGCTTATTTAGTGACACGAAGTGGCATTAATGCGATCACTGATCAGTGAATTCGATGTTCCGTGGAATAAACTTTTTTTGATGTACGTGACCACTAGTGCCACCTGCACAGAAAACGTTTTTGCTTTACGCGGCGCGTGGCCAAGGCTTTCATAACTTTGTGGTGCAGACCGCATTCCACGTGTGGCGGCGGTGTCAGGTGAGTCAGATGGATCGTTCCCCCTTTAAATAAGTACTAAAAATCAGTTTTTCATACTGCGACACTAAGTTTTGACGTAGGTGCAGCTAGAGGGGTCTTGCCTCTTCTTGAACATAGAAATACAAATGAGACTTTCTATGACCAGCCAACATATAAGCTTTTCTCGTGTCGAAGTTTCGCGTGTCGCGTTTCATTTGACAGATAAAGGCTTAGCACATGTCGGTTTTAGAGAACATTTTTTGCTTGAAGCTTCTCAGGCAAGTTCGCTTTCGCGAATAAAACACACCACCAGGCTGCAATTACGTAGCATGTGAAACTAATTTTTGTCATTTATTTAAAGTGGGACGATCAGTTTGACTCGAGCACCCGGTCATTCTTTTCAGTCTGAAAAGAACGCGGGGTCTGAGCTAACGGAAAATTGAACACGGGTGTTCAACGCCGCTGCGAGGTATGCAGATGTAGTTGAGCAACATTTTTTTTCACGTTATTTTTATTGAAGCGCCGACTGATTTGCGATTAGTTACTTCGTTCTGGAATAAGCTCCGGCCTCTGGAATCTGATTAAATGTGTTCTAGTCTTTTCTAATTTACACATGCAGTGCAACAGTTTCTTGTTTTTGGCGTTTTTGTGAAATCAGACATGGGGGTGCTGTTTTACGGACCCTGCTTGTGGTTGCGATGTACTGTCGGCACGGCCGTGTCAATAAAGCCCGACGATCGCGTCACGCCGACAAGCGCAATATTCTTAAAAAGAAAAGGAGAAAACGGATCATGGCCAAAGGTCTAAACGCAGAAACTCGTGGACGGAGCTGTGCCACGGGCAATGTGATAATGGATGAAATTAAATTAAATAAATTTAATCGCAAGGTAAACACACATTTTAAGTTTATGTAAGTAAAAGTGGCCGTATCGAGTACTTCAGGGTCCGATGAAAAGCAACCTCCTGCCAAAAAATAATGAACCACGGAAATTGTCCGTCGTTCCTTGGCGCGCTGAATCTTGCAAAAATAAGCCACACCCGAAACCACTCCCCGGCAGTTCCGCGGAATCCTGGGCCCTGGGGCCAGTGTATACAGTGAAGCGACACAAAATCCTTAAACGTTGGTAGCCGCCTGTCTACCCTGGTCGGCTCGGACCAAGACAATACAAGGAACGCCAAGGAAATCACTTCCATGTCAGTTACATGGAACCCCGGGGCCAATGAACACACTGAAGAGCCTCTAAGACTTCAATGTTGGAGGCCGCCTGTATACCCTGGTCGGCTCGGCACAACAAAATACAAGGAACGCCAAGAAAATAACTTCCCTGGCGGTTTCGTAGAATCCTGGGGCCAATCAGCAGACTAAAGCGCCAATGTTGGCGGCCGCCTGTCTATACTGGTCTGCTCGGACCAAGAAAGACGAGAAACTGCCAAGAAAGTCCCTTCACTGGCAGTTCCGTGGCATAGCGGTGCCAAGGGAAATACGGTGCACAGTATTTCCCGGGCACCGCTATGCCACGGAACTGCCAGACTTGACCGGGACCGCCCAGGGAATTCGGTGAACTGCCAGCCTGGGTTCTCATGAGAACCCAGGCTGGCAGTTCACCGCATTCCCTAGGTGGTCCCGGTCCAGTCTACTACGGCTAAGGCCCAATCCTGGCCCCAGCTAGCCCAAGCAAGTGTGATTTTAGCATCGGGAGCCCTAGACTTATCATAAACACAAAGCCATGGCCGAACTTTACGGAGCGCACCAATCAAACTCGCGCAACAATGACACCGCGCTCGTGCCGCTAAAATGCAACAAATGCGTTCCCCCGAAATTCTGGCTACAATTTTATGTTTCACACGTTTAGAGCCTCAGGAGTAGCTTCTCTCCAGCAAAGAGGACGCTCTGCGGATCACGTAGTTTATGCAGCTGTCAATGGCGGCTCCCTTGCCTAGAAACGAAAGAACGAAGAAAAAAAAAAGAGTGGAGAATTCGCTCAGGTATGTTAGAAAATTGTGAATTCAGTAGGGACACAAGTGCTAGATTTTCGGCTCATATTCCGCAAGGGACTTTTATTCATCAGCCATATTCATCATGCTATGCTACAATTCCTCCTGTGACATCAACAGCCGCTCCCGTCATGAAGCTGGCCTTGGGGCTGCACATGAATGTAATCGTCTCGGCTATCTCTATGGGCCGCGCAAGGCGCTTGAAGGCTGTCGCCTGTACAGACGCGACCTGTAGTGCAGCGGGCAGCCTTGCGATCATGGGCGTGTCGACAGGGCCTGGCAGGATGGTGTTGACTCGGATGCCCTTGCTCGCCACTTCGAGGGCCACTGACTTGGTCAGGGACACGACGCCTCCCTTGGACGCAGAATAGGACGAAAATAGCGGAGAGCCAATTTTCACAGCGATGCTCGCGATGTTGACGATGGCTCCGCCCGTGACATTCTTCGCAAGCATGTGCTTCACCGACGCTCGATTGATCAGGAAGGTCCCCTGCGAAGAAAACCCTTAACTGAGTGCTCACAGGACAAAATTATAGGCACAGAAGAAGCTGTAAACTCCAGCTGGTGTCCACAGAGAAATATGGAAGATTCTAACATGCCGTATATGTCTGCCGGAAAATCTGCTCGTTACGGGAAAAGTAAATATTGCCATTCCGAACGAGAATTAATTGTTCTAGGTTCAAGCAAATTCTTCAAGTTTTCAAATCGACACTTGCAAAAGGTTGCTTCCAGAGACGGCCATGGTAAATTGCTGCCTCCTTTAATACTACTGCCCCCCCATTCTCATCGGTCGTCAGAACCTATGTGCACATTATACAAAAACATATATACATCAGCAGATGAGGTCGAAACAAAAGAAGTGAAAACACCCATTTATGAAAAAAATAAAGGACGGAAAAACAGAACGGTCTCAAACACGGACCTGTGTTTTCAGACCGCTATGTTTGTCTGCATTTTCAAATTCCCGAATCTCAGCATTTGTACCATGTCAACTGCCACCTAATCGTTTGCGCCCTTACCTTCTGTTCATGACTCCTGCAGATGATATTTTATTATACTCACGTAAGTAATATTCTGTGGCTCCGAAATGGTACCTATATTTGCGCAACACAACGCGAACACAAAATTGTTTATATTTCACAATTAAACTTTAACGCCACAAGGACGACGCTCCAAATGAACTCGGTTATGTTAGTATCCCAAAACTGCCACCTCTAATACCTTGCGTAGCCTTCCAATGCTGTGCTAAAAAAAGAACAGGTGATGGCTTGTTCACGCTAACAGCGTCAGGAACCGCACAAACATGTTTGCAGCTTCTCTTTAGAAATTACAAATGAACGAATTATTTTGAGAAATCTCACAAAAATTCCCACCCCACAGGAGGTTCACAAGAATAAAAAGCCGCTGCATCCGTAACGCTGGCTTACCGAGGCCTAAAACCAAATCAAATTATAACAAAAAAACTAAATCGTATTGCCACGTTGATTTAATACCTGCCGACAACTGTATTTAACCAACCAGCTTGTACAGTTTAATCCAGGTTGATCTTGAAGCTCGACTTTTTATATAACCTAAGAAAAAAAATTCGCCTAAGCCTGCTAAGCAGAGCGTGGAACAGACATAAGTGGCAACATATTGTCGGAGGTTAATCCTCCGGAGCAGAGCTGTCATGTGTTGCGCTCTGTGGTTCCTCTTGGTTCAAGCGGGGCGTAGCTTTAGCTGTCTGCCAAGTCACGCTGAAGCAGTATCTAAGCCGAGATGTCTCGGGGGGAGCCCTCTTGTGCTCTTTTTATCTTTGATGCAACTACACTGCGTTCTCCCCTAAGCCGAGACTGCGGTGGTAGCTAAGCTCTTGCCGGACCATCGAAGCGCCTCGCTTTCATCACCTGCCCCAGCTCTCCGCGCAACGTAGTGGGCAAGGGCGTGATCACGTGGCGAAGGATCGACATGTGACTGGTCCATACGCGATTGTATCCCTTCCACCGCAGTCCTGGCTTCCGGGCGTACGTAGTAAACCCGGATTTGCCTGGTTGTTACACTATGAACTATGATTCTTCCTCGGCCAGTTGTTAACGAGAAGTTTGCTTGCCTAAAATGCAAGAATCAAGCTCAGTCTTCATATGATCATTTGCAACATCAAACTTTCACTTCCGACAGTCCTTGTTTACGTCAATTGAAACAATTTCTGCCAAAAACGTTATAGTGAGCTCAAGGCCAATCGCGGAACACCGACTAAAGCTATGTTTAATTTTGCGTAGGTCGCCAGGAGCGCTTCGCAAAGGCCATATAGTGAGGCAAATGAACCGGAATCATTGGATTCGTTTGTACTCACCCGTAGGTTTGTGCCGATCACATCGTCAAAGTCGGCGTCGCTTGTTTCCTGGATTAGAGCGAGTGTTCCCATGATTCCGGCGCTGTTCACGACGACGCTGACCTTCCTTTCAGAAAATGACGATTCGATCTCTTCGAACAAATTGTTGACGGCGGTCGAGTTGGAAACGTCCACGTAGATGGCCTGATGATCGCCCTCGTATGAAGCTGGGTAAGATATGGTAAAGGGACTGTTTGAACGGTATTCCGGTATATACTTTCATTTTGAAGCCAGCGTAACTACAGCTTCCTGCAGTGGCGGTTTAAATGAAGTATACCGTAATATAAGGAAGCGATGTTTGAAGAATCACGTGCTAAAGGCGTGAAGCTCCTTCATTCGGCCAACAAATACGTGTACTTCGCTTTATCTTTGGGGTCAAAAGGTACTGGTAACAGACGCGCAGATATTTAAAACAGGTTTACGACAGATTTTTCGCGCTTGATTAGATCGGTTGGAGAACTCACATATATGCGAGAGCATATCCCGACCTTACAATTTTGGGAACGCTTCATTGGTCCTTTTCTCGTAGCGTTGGTAGCGCTCGTTCTTAATGTAAAACTGGGGATAGGAGGGTTACGGAACTCAATCCATGACTTTCCGAAAGTTAACGTATAGACGTTCAAAAGCAACCATACTTCAAAAGCTGGTCTCGCCACTGTTGGTAAAAACAGTTGTTTGAACACAAGTCTGAATAACAATGGGCACGCCGTAGCAAGAATCGCCTCGTGAACAATTCTTGCTGAGGCTTGTAGCTAGCGCCATTTAAAGGCTGCCAAATTCTCCATAGCACCCAATTTCTTCTTCTCTCGAGTAATCTCCAGGTGCCAGCAGTACGATAGCGAGTATAAGTGGGACACTATTAAAGATATTTGACAAACACGAAATCCGGTACACTGCTATTGTTTCCTGTGGTCATAAGGGTGCCATAATTGATAAACCATATTTTTCATGCTTTATAGTAGCCATGCTTTGTGGTCATGATATTAATCCCCTGAATATAAAGCGCCTCGTCAATAAGACGTCAAGGTGACGTCCTATTGTCATGTGCCCTCACAGTGCCACGTGCCGTCAGTGTCGCACCGTTACGACATGTGACGCTGACATAAGCGTCTCGAGTGACGTCGCAACATGCCATCAGGTGACACTGACACCTCAGGCCAGTGCGACAATAAGTAACATCGTGACGTCATATGAAGCCACGGTCCTATGTGAAGCGCACCCGGAATCCTCTGCGATGAGATTCCTCACCAATAACACCCATCTCCTTTAAAGCTGTTGAAACATGCTCCTCATTACATGAGGCGGGTTTTTTCGTTCCCAGGTCTATGGTATGGGAAGGACGTAACACACGGAATAGCGAGAAACATAGGTCACTAAACACTGAAGGAGAATCAAAGAAAAGGATCTTCACGATGTAAAAATCGTGCCCCTTTTAGAGGGAAGTTTTTCGTTTCTTCCGCAGAGACCTGTTCACCTGGATTTAGCTTTGAACTGTATTTTGTGTCCACTATGGAACCAAAATATCCCCCACCCGCCATTCACGCACTATTGCTGAGATATTTTTGCCCCCTTTTTTAATTTTGAAAACTTAGATTAGGGAGCTAGGTGGGAGATGGGCGTGGGCTTGGCGTTGTGCTAAACTAATTAAGATCAGAATTTTCCTTTGTCGCCTCCTGTTCTGAGGGAACGTCGGGGGTTCTGGGTTGCAGGTTTGCACAGGGAGTGGGATCGTGCGGCGTGTAATGGAGGCGTCGGAAATTTCCCACACCTCGCGCACTCTGGCGCGAGGTGTGGCTGTACCCGGGGGGGGGGGGGGGGGGGGGGGTGGGGGGGGGGGGGTCAAAACCCGTGAAGCTCCCCCCCCCCGGGTATGGCCCTGACTGGTATTGGGATGTCTAATACTCATGCAATCATTTGCAAAAGGCGAAAACATAGTACGTAGGAACATGTACAATTGCTCGTGGGTAACACGACTGACCTTGCAGCATCCCAATGGTCTCATTTGAGCCCGTCCTGTTCCTGTCTGCCACGACAACTGTGGCGCCCTCTCGAGCGAGTACCATGCAGACGCTCCTACCGATCCCGCTGGCGCCTCCGGTAACGAGTGCAAGGCGACCAGCGAGTCCGAGAGACTGGCACTCGGTGTGATGGCACACAGATTCTGGTATTTCCCCACTGTCATGCGTTTGGCAGATCACGGTTCCTGGAAGCGTACATAAATACGAAACTCACAGAAGATAGCAGGGTTCCTACAAGAGTAGCTTAACTGAGCGTTGCTGCTTTACTTTGTTTCACCGTAATTCTGAGTTCAGTGAGAAACCAACAGCCATACAAACACGAACAGATGCTAAAAGTGCAGAGGCGACGGATCATAGACTACGATTCATTGGATAAGCCAATGATGGTACACGCGCAGAAAGACGACAAACTCCTTGAAGATGCGTTTCCTTCTACGGCCCCGATGCGGTGAAAGGTTATGAGCACCTATACCGTAAGCATACCCTATCGAAGGTCAGGCCAACTCTGAAGCGTTCACGACAGGATGAATATTGTTCAATTGGCCGGCACTATAGTACGATTCCTAAAAATCCACGCCGTAGCCGACGCTACAACTCCTTGGAACTAGAAAATCGTCGTCAAAAGTGTCGTCCGGACGCTTTTTTTGCTTGCGAGTTTGCGCCAATTCAATCACTCCCATTAAATCCGCGGTGATCCTAAGCCTCTTTGTCGTGAGCGATTTGCTGAGCTGGCAACAGCGAACACACAAATATGGCGAGCACGGTAAGAATACTCTTCTCGCACTGCTTGGCGTTTTCGGCGGCCAGATTTATGTAAAGCAGGGTACATCTACCAACGCAAAAGTTCTGGGACATCGTGGTTTTGGCACTCCGCCAAGATAACAACTTCGGAAAAGTCGATATTGTTAAAAAAAAAAACTTACCGATTGCCAAAAAAGCAGCGAAAATTGTCAGTTTCGTGCCGCCCATGTTGGCGCACTACACGAAGCCTGCTGTTAACAGAAACAAGCACATATTATTAATGCCAGAGGTTACGTGTTTGACCCAGCTCTTGAGCGCAGGTTTTACGAACAGATGGTCCGACACGTCAAGGCGCCATTAGTCAGAAGTTCATCTCCATAATATTAGAGACGCCTAACGAGTATATCAACAGGTAAGCAAGAACGAATGCTGTAAGCTCGTGAAGCAGATCTCCAGCACGAGTTGGCACAACAGTGTTCCAGAGTTGCCAACTAGAGGGACAACACGCACACGTGTACACTACAAAATTCAAAAGAGAAGTTTAGAAATTGTGCTTTTGGGTGTTGTTCACACGATTCCGTTTGCCTGTGGACGAGCGTACATCGGCCAGAGAGGAAGATGCGTAAACCTGAGTATTAGACAACATGATTGGACCCTGCGATCGACAGCGGGAAAAGGGGGAAAGGGGGGGGGGGGGGGGTACCTCCTACTACGTCGTTCATATTGTGGGTGTCGCCCTGGTTTCGGTAACTTCGCCATCATTGGAAGGGGCGGAAATCAAAGTGCCAGAGCGATTTCAGAAGCCTACGCCATCAAAAAAAGGGAGGAACGATGTGTCCGCTAAAAGTCGTTTCATTTACATTGGAAGATGATTTCCTTCCTTGATGTGTGTTCATAGGCCAAGACTCAATTTTACCTCTTCTGTTGCTTCTTTGTTTTATTTATCAAACGTATCACTTGAGAGTCAGCGTTAGTCCTCTGTCCTGTTTTTTTTTGTGTCACCATTGTTTGAGCACTGTGGTGAACTTTTCGGAGCTTATTGCAGCATTCAGTTTTTCTTTGCAGTCTGTGCGGAAGCTTCCCTTTTCACTTCATTGCACGTTGCGCAGAAGCATGATGCAAAGGTTATGCCGAAGGTCTCCAGAACGACATCGAGGATAAAAGCGGTACGATGCCTAGAAAAGAGTCGTTGAAAGCCACATTTAGTGACTTGGGCAACACCCCCCCCCCCCTCAGATATCTACGCTGTATATTTCCAAATTCCACGCGATACCTAGAGGAAGCAAATGTGCAACTCGGCAATCACGCCAGCGTTACGCGGAATATAACGCATAACGTTCGGGCGCAGGGGAGATTCTTCCAAAAGTTTTTCTGCTCGCGAAGCGCTAATGACTTACATGCAACGGTTTCGTATTTATCGAGGTGATCGTAGACAAGTTAAAATAAATATGTGCATACTCACCTTGAGGTATCAAGTAGTTGGTAATCCAATGATTCTGTTCAACGATCCTAGCACTAAGACGTTACAGCGAGAACCTGGAACGGATGTTGTTTCTTCGACTTCGGGTTCGTGGATACAACTAAGGTGAAGAAGTCTGAAGGGTTGGCGTTACTGGTATTTTATAGCGATGGCCGCACGCCCCCTAGCTTTTTTTTTTTTTTTGTTTAAAAGTCAAGGGGTCTTTTCTGCGGGATACGGTTTATTCGTCAAGCGGTGACATGTCACAAGTCGACTGATAAAGGCCGTTTGTCAAAGCGCCCTGCTAGTCTTAGTATGACTCACTATTTGGGTAACCCGTCGCACGATAACCACTATGCTCGTTTTAGCTTAAGTCCGAGCGGGGCAAAAGGCTTGTTGCAACAACGACAGACACGCGTAGACGCAAAGGGCATTTTATCATTTGTCCGTGCGGATAAGAAGGCATGAACTCATACAACGACCAAGCACATACTAAAAGCTCAAGTCACTGGGCCCTTCTTGTACGTGATTGGTTTAGCAATCACAGAACACGCACAGAAACACGACGAACACCATGGCGCTGCGCGCATGACGCTCTGCGACTGGTCATATCTACTGGTAGCATCGATGCGCCACTTCTTAAAGGAGCCATGAAAATCGCCTTCTACTTTTGCTAAATACAACTTAAAATCCCTCCCTACCGTTAATAAATAAATACACTTTTCTTTTTTTTTCTTTTCTAGGCAATGGCAGTCGTCAAAACGGTTTGAGAAATATGAGCATCATTGATCCCCTCATCTTGGAGCAAAAAAAAAAGCAGCCACGTGGCCTGATGTCTGTTCTATGCCCCCGACGTTAATCATACCCACGCGCTCGCAATGGCAAAGTCGAAAACGTGTGCTAAACTCCAGGCATTGTTTGAGCTCAACTATTCTCATTACCTCAAGGGGTGAATAGGAGCCACGTCCGAGTGTCCCCGGATGCATTGGTTGTTACGAGCCGAAGTCGAGTGCTGACGCAGTTCTCGTGTCTAATTCATGAGCCGCCGGTTTTAATATCAAAATTACATTATTAAGCTGTGCGAAGGCAAGACTGAAAGCAATAGTCCACTTTCATCCTCTCCATTTCACCGCGACAAAGATGCTTCTGAATCAGTGGCATTTTCTTGCGAGAATAATTGAAGAAGGCTAGGAACAGTGCGCCTCTGCAAAGTTATGAACATTCCAACCCGATATCGTTCCATGATCCATTTATGGTGAAACGAAGCGTGTATAGAGAGCCATTGCTCGGACTTGACTGAATCACTTGGTTATGCCACATGCATAGAAACACGAAACATTTTGTGACAGCGCTTTGAAGCTTGATTAGCCTCATTGACTCGTAACGGTGGTAATTCTTGCATTTAAGATGGAAAGTGGTGGTTCGTCCTTCATGCCATGTATTGTTTTTCTTAGGTCAGCCTGGCTCGCCCCTCCGAGATGAGCATGGTTGAACAAAGGCAAAAAAATGTGTACGGTTCTAGCTACGGGATAGGTTTAGAACGAATAATGCTGCGGTAGTATAACAAGATTTTTTTCGAAATTCAGCTTTGCTCAGAAATGTGGTCAGATCCAGACTTGTACACGTTACTGAAAAATAGTAAGGAATTACATTTACAATTACTCAAGGATAAATTGTAATTTATTACAGTTACAATTACCCTCCCATAAAAGTAACTGACCCTTTCTCAAAAAGTAATCCGTTACTTTTGTGGCGTTACTTTCAACATTATTGTCCTCAAGTAAGAAAGAAAGGGACGAGGGTTATTCAAGTTCTTATTGTTTCAACCTGTTCCATTTACTGACCTTGAGTATTTTTAGCAACAGCTGGCTCTCGAAAGTCTCGTCATACATTTTGCGTTATTTCTTACTCAATATGTCGACTGCTACGCTGAACACCATTTAAACTGAGGCACTGGATGGGAGTGCCATAGTGTTCCTCACGAATGCTTCATTTTCTGCATTTAGCTTTTTCAGTGAAGCAATGGAAGTACTATTTACCTCGACCGTAGAGCAAAGCTTCGTCGTTGCAGCCGTTGCCTGCTATTCGAGAGATTTAGTAGATCGTTCCGATGTCTCCGATACCAGCGATAACGGTACCCGATAACAATATGATGAATGCGCAAAGACGGCGGCAAAGTATCGGATATCGTTATCGGAGTGATCGGACCGATCTACAAAAATTCTTAATTGTCTAAACCGCGAAGGTGTGGAAGTCATCATGCATATCGCCAAAAGTCAATGCATATATTGCCAGACAATAGCAAAACATAGTTGTAACAGTAAGGCGATAATTAAATAATAAATAAGGTTTGGCTCGATAATCTTCTCCCTTTGGTTCTGAACAGGTCGAGGCTCGGGTGAGACGTTGGTGAGTAAAAAAATGTTTCCAGTATATAAATACAAGTAATAAAACAAAAAGAAGGACACTCATAACAACAATTAATTAGAACGTCGCTTAAAATAATGATATGTAAATGCACGTTTGCCATGTGTACCTTTATTGGTGCTATTCAAAAACGCACGGAGCACGAACCGACTGCACTTTTACTACGGTCTTCTCCAGATAGACGTCCACTGATGCCACGGGCAGCGAAGGGTAGAGTACTAAGTAAGCCGCGCTATGACCCCACTCACGAGTTTCCCTCTCGCCTCAAACCTAGAATATCAAGTCTACGTCAGCCACCATTATGTTTTATTTGTAAAAATATCTGCTTGAGATAAGATACGTCCTGCTGGGGCAAAAAAGGAAGAAGAAAGGAAGACTATTACCATTTTCCAAGTGCTCGCAAAAAGCTGACTCACAAAAAGGGTGACTGAGATGCAGATAACCCGGCTGGAATTCACAAGCAAAGTGGGCCAACCCTAGAAGTTGGACTACAAAAAAGTAGGTAGCTCTTAGAACAGGGTCAAATAATGTGAGAGATGCAGAAAAAAATACATCCTCTTTTATAAGAGAATATGATAAGTGTTCAGCAACGAACGAGGGTGCTTGTGGCAATAACACCTTCACATATTATCACATCTCTTTTAGTGGATTTTAGGGTAGACGAAGCGTTCTCTCGTGTTGGGACATTATGAAAATGGTCGTGGTCACTATAACCTTACCGCACTTACCGCCTAGAGCTTCTCCAAGAGGCGCACAATCACTTGGTCTCCTCGTCTCCCCGTCTTCGATCACAAAGAAAAAAAACAAAGCGACTAAAAAAGCGGAGATAGCTTGCCCCCCCCCCCCCCCTCTTTGTTTTGTTTTTGTAGAAATGTTTATTTTGATTTTTTTGAAATTGTTGTTGGGGTCAAAAAAATAGATTCAGGGGCTTGGTGTTGCAAAAAAAGGCTTTCCGGAACCGAAGAGTGCCAAGCCTCCCTTTGCGCTGGTCAATTCGCGTGACAGTGTCATTGCGCTCGACTTTACCAAAATTAAAAAAAAAATATATATATATATGTATATATATATCTTTAGAACCGGGGGGGTTCTGAAAAAAAAATGTAACCGATTACAAGGAATCCGTTACGTGAAAAATGTAAGTGAATTACCTTAAAGTTACTCCAAAAATATGTAATTATTCCGTTACTAAATTACTGATAAATACAAGGGATTACAAGAAATTTCGTTACTTGTAACGGATTACGTACAACTCTGGTTAGATCATGACTTTGGGGAGCCATTGGGCATCAAACTCACAGAAGCAACGGCCACACCACGTTAACCAACAATATTCCTTTGTTCTTGACAACTACATTCGAATACTAGCTGAATTCAAAGTATTGCCCTGTGATTGAATTCTACTTCTAATATGTTTTAGTATAATTCTCGTCTCGCAGAAAATAAAAATAAAAGAAGAGCGGTTTTTTTGTTTTTGTTTTTTTTCAGGACAATTGGAACAGATTATGTCAAATGGTCTTCGGGGAGATTACAATTTTCATGTTGTTTTTTAGAACAAGGGTTTTTAAATGGGAGTTTATGGACTCTCAATTTCTTCTTAGGGTCTCTGAAGCCTTGCACAATAGGTCAAGCCGACCACTAAAATGTTTTTTTTAATTATTATTGATACTGGCTGCCCCCAAAGCTGAATTGATGAAACCATATGCAGTGAGTGAGTGGACTTTATTATTTTCTACTCCAGGGCTGCAAATAGGGTTCACATTAATTTATTTTCCTTTATTCACCCTTTTGTCACTGCAATCGTTCAAACCCCCACCCCTCATCCCGTGGATGGTGTCACCCATCACTTCCGTCGATTCAGAAAGGATCCCTTAAACATGAGTGGTTACAAACACCTGCTTTAGAATTTGGTTTTCTTTTCTCATCTACATTTGAAGCACACAATATTTTATATCAATAAAGAACATGGAGATTTAAGGCGGCGTAAAGTTCACAATGAACTATACCAAATAGTCTAGGACGTTTCAGCGCGGGACGTTCTGGGAACTAGTGTTTGAGTGCACGCGTTCGCTTTGGTAATGTGGATATCGGTAAATGCTCAGTTGTTTCAGTGACTTGTAAAATGTGAACTTGCTTCGTGGATTCGTCTGCAAACCGAAAATCCGCAATATAAAAATTTGATAGGTTACTTCTCGCTTAGGCAATGTTGCTTCTAGCATCAGAAAATGTAATAATTTAAAAATAACATGATGTAAAGTGTGCCAATTCATTACTCTCGTCTTAAAACCAAAGCGTGTTTAAAAACTTTTTTACAAGCGCTATATCTCTCAAATATGCACATCTAGACCTCCGCGAAGTGGAACGTGCTGCTAAGTTGCGTAAAAATAAAGGAAAAAGACAATCCAGAAGAAATAGTTTGTCCGCTGTTGCCTTTATGTCACTCTCTTTTTATCCCTGAACAAAATTATTTTTGGCGTTTAATTAAATGAACAAATTTATTTCTATTTTGTGAATTTTTTTTTTAATTTGCGAAGTAAATGGTTTATATACAAACGCTTCCTTGGGAAGTTGAAATATTCGAAAATTTTGGTGTTTAATTTTCTATCAATTAACAAACCGACGCTGGCGAAATGTGGCCAACACAAGAAATAGAGCAACCTCGTTGCCTGCTTCAAGAAAATATAGCAAGT